GTGCTTGTCAGCATGGCTCCAAAGAAAATGCAGAGCAGGCTTGGCAAGAATAATTTGCTTCGGGGTACGACCAACTCGGGATACGTCCAGAGTCACGGAACGGATTAAGTTCGTATCCCGAGGTACCACTGTACTATTCCACAGGAAATAAAAACTAGCCAGTGCAGGATAGAACTTGGTTTAATGTACCTATATACAACATTGAACAAAATGAGTTTTATACTGTACATTTAAATGAAATTACAGGTAGTTCTCACTGACTGCATCATTTAATGACCATTTGTACTTATAATGGTGTTAAATAGCTTTGTGACCAATCCTCGCATTTATGACACTCGCAGTGTCCCATGGTCATGTAATTCCCATTTGGGCACTTCGCAACTGGCATGCATTTACAACTGTCACAGTGTCCCATAGTCGCACGATCGCCATTTGGGCACTCTTTGCAACTGGCTTGTAACAAGCAGAGTTAATAGAGAAGATAGAAGTAAAATCATAAGTCAATATTTCACTTAGTGACAGGGATGCAGAGTCTCCCACCCCTATGAGATTCAGAGCATGGGGGCCTGAAAGCAGACCTCTATAGCAGCAGTCCTATAGAATGTTGCCCCAGAGTGTTGCTAACACCTTTGCTTCTAGTTTCCTGCAAATTGGGAAAAACATGTTTGTGCAAATATTCAGCATTTATCAGGATGGTTAACTGTATGAGCAACCTCCATTGTTTTGTATTATCTGTATTTTGATCTTTTTATGTATCTTATATAAACCATATCATAATTGAATTGGGTGGCATAAAAGTACTATAAATAATTTGAAACTATGTGGGAATGCTGTGTCAAAGCAGTGTTGAGTAAATTATCCTAGTTCTCATGCATAGAACTATTAAGCCACAGGAAAGTGATGCCTACTCTTTAATACAGCCAATGACAGTAAACTTTTTAAAAAGTTTTCCATAGATACTGTCCAGCTGTAGCTGGAAGACAGTAATTGTGTAGAAAGCAAGCAACACAGAATGATATCCAAGCATAAAATTTCACCATGAAACCTGTATTAGTTGTAGTCCATAAAGCAAGTTCTTAATATTTCAGAAAGGTACTATACAGCATTATTTATTTAAAAACTTCTTTAATATGGATATGCCCTACATACCAAATTCAGCATTGAAGCATACAGAGTAGTAAAGGACATACATCTTTTTCCTGAAATCCTCAGCCACTCCTTTGCTATTTTTCATGGGGAATAAACTTCCTCTGTTAATGCAGCACCTGCTTTCAGTGTTGCATTTCCAAGTATCAAAGTATTCAAGAACAATGCCTCCCTGTACAGTGTAATATGGCTTCCAACATTGGAAAGATTAAGTACTACAGAGACATTCTTCCTTTCATAGAAAAAGGAGGGTTTTTTTCTACCCAGCAAGAACTTCTAACACTTGGTGCTATGGTGTCTCCAAGATGCCCTTTTCATAAGGCTTCTGGCTGCAACATAAATTCAAATTTTTGTTTGTAAATTCAAATTTTTGTTTTGTCAGAAACAAAAACATACTCAAATAGTAAAATACAAAGGACAATACTTGAACATAAGAAAATAGCCCACAATCTTGAAGGAAACTGAAGGTCACAGCTGGATGTTAAATTGTATACAGACAACAGACCCACATTGTGTGGTCCAGTAACCAACAGCTTGTATCTTCTTTCCAAAACTGCACAGGCTACTCCCAAAATAACTCTACTAAATAATTTAGTGCATCTAAAATTCTAATCTACCTATCCAACATTAAAACATAACCAGAACAGAAAAGATTCTCAAAAAATCCACAGAAACAAAACAAGAGAGATCCAGCACCCATCTTCTACATGAATTGGCTCAGTGAAGTCAGCTCAAAGAGCAAGAACAGGAGCAGGACACGCAAGCTTCGTTACTTCGAAGAATGATTCTCTGGTTACACCACCGGGCACCCTGTTGGAAAAAGAAAAAGTTCAGGTTTCCAGATTTCCATCTCTTTCAGCAAAATAAATGGTATATTATATCCTATACATGTGTCATACTTGTGACAGTGCCTTTCCAAAAACATTTGTCTGAAAATGAGCTCATTACTACTTGCACCACATTTATTAGAATTAGCTGTACATAATGCTAATCCAGAACTGAATAGCGTGCCCTGCTACTTTAGTCTCTGAAGCAAGTGAAGCCAAAATATTCCCTCTGTACCCTTAAACTGATCAATTTCACACCTACACGCACTAAATGGTACTGCCCTTGCAGCAGAAATGCTGAACTTTGAAAGATTCAGTTCTCACTCACTAACATTTTATATGCCTCTGGCATCTATGTTAGATGAAGGGAATAGGCATCGTTCTTGGGGAAAAAATGGGCCAAACCACAAGCAAGGCACTTTTTGAAAACTTCCTAGATAAGCTGCATTCCAGCCTTGAGCTACCAGAGTATTACAATGGCTTGCTTGGAAACAGATTAGAACTGAAATTCTGGGTTTGGATGATACAGAATTGCTTCCCACATTAAGCCATAAGGACACTTACCTAGGACTTCAAGCAGCCGCAGGGCCACGGCATTCTTGGCCTTTTCATGGTCTTCCAAGCCAGAGGGGTCAGGCTTGATCCAAATGAACCCACTGAAGGGAGATGGATATTTTGGTATAGCCACCTGATACCAGAACTGCAGGTGCCCTTCAGGATTCCTCTGCACACATTTTGTAAAGAATACAGGGGGGCCCAGCTGATGCTGCTCACACTGCAGTTTTAAGTAGTCCAATACGCTGCCCTTTGCTGGTAACATATGGCAGTCCACAGGCCCAGAAGACACTTGACAAAGGACACCTCTATAATTACAGCTGGATGGGAGGATCCCTGGATCACCTGGCACTGAGACATTATGAAGCTCCTGTTTTATAATAGGTTTCAGCCAATCCACTTCAATTTGATCTCCACAGAGACACAAGCTACCTGCATAAGAGAAGAAGCAATGTCCATCTGACTTTAAATACAGACTGCCCTGTATTTGGTTAATAATGTGGTTAAGTTCAAGGTAGCAGCGTTAAGAGTTCGCATGTACCTCAGTGATAGCTCCAAACTCTTCCTCTACTGAAACTGGTCAGTGCTGAAGCTCCCAGACTTGTTAATGCCACTACTAAATTCCCAATAACTGGGATACTAGTGCAGAATCCATCTAGTGCCCAGTCATCTTGGGAACAGGGGAAGGATCCCAGAAGCCTTATTTAAAATGACATGGGTTGCGCTCAAAGCATTCAATGGGCAAAACAAGTTTTCTCTAAAAGCAAATAATTAAATACCCAATATAATTTATTCTGCTTTGGCAATAAATAGAAGCTTCTTCTAAAAAATCTAGAAAGCAGCTGTAAAAGTCTTAGTAATCAGGATAGCTGATTACTTTTGCCAGCCCTGTCCAATATTCTTTCCTAAACAGTGAAGAGATACATCTGTTTGCTAAATTGTTCCCACACATACTTAACCTATTTTGTCATCATACAACACATTTTGAAAAGACAACAAAATGCAAAAGAGATTCATTCCAATGTATTTTGGAGGCTTAATTTCAGCTTCATATGTGAGATTTATACAAAGTTCATCCATTCATGCCATCCTGGATGTTTCATTGTCAATCCCTTTTTCCTAACAGGTACTCAGAAACTGTTTTCAGGGACTTTGCTGACCCCAAGGCTTCAGATGCATAGGAAATCTGTAGCTTTCCTGGCCATTTCTAGCATAGCACAGGATGGCTAGAGTAACTGGTTAACAAAACATAATGATCAACCTTCTCTTTCCCCATGCCAAAAGACAGAACGAACCTTCCACAAGGTTTTTCTTGGCTACTGCAGCAGCCTGATGGGAAATGTATTTCGCCTCTGCCAGCTGCCTCTGCTTCCTGAAAGGGCTGGGATGTAAGGAGATGTTTAGGAGTCCTGGGGTGAGTTCCTGCAGCATTGGCAGAAGATGGCACTCTTTCAGCAAGGGTGCCAGACCATCAATGTAAAGCTCACACTTGTCGGTGCTTCTACAAACCAGAATGGGGGAGCCAGACTGGATTTCAAAGTTGTTGAACAAAGCAATGGCCTCCTGGACATGTCGGCGGTTCATGTATTTAGCATAGGCAAAGCCACGGTTAAGCCCACTAAACGTCATCATGAGACGAAATTCATAAAGCCTCCCAATGCTTTGGAAGAGAGGAATAAGTTTATCCTCATAGATATCCTGTGGGATCTTCCCTATAAAAACCTCTGAACCGGATGGTGGGGCACAGCCAGCCCAACCTGTGGAAAGAGCAAGGAAAATACACATTACTGGCAAAGTATTTTCACTTCCCTGAAATATTTTGGGAAATGCTCTTGTTTCTTATTGGTTTCCAATAGACATAGACAACCTTTTTGGTGGCCAAGGGCCACAGTTAATATCTGGAGGAGGACTAAAGGCTATAACAAGTAAGGCAATATACAACAAGGGCAGGGTTACTTATCATATTACTAATGATACAGGAAACAATGCAGCCTCAGGTCACCAATGGTATCGCCAGCAATCAAACCGCACATCAATATCTGTAATGCAAAATTAGATTACTAGTCTGTTTTTTTCAGAGTTTTCTACTCACCTGGTGGAGGACCACCGTATTTTCTCTGTCCGTTGATCTGCACTAACTGGATTCCAGTCTCTCTCACCCAAGTCAGAAGGGCAGCTTTATTAGCCCGGTTTATTTTTTCACTCCACATCTGAGATGGTACCTAGAAGCACAACACAGATCCAGTGCAGTAACTATCTCTAATAGGAAGCTTTGACTCAGCTCCCTACAACTATCTAGGGAGCATTTTCGAGTGAGGCTCTTCAACTGATTATTTCCATTGCAATCCACTGTCTCGATTTGAACGGTAAAATCATTTATGTAACGCTTTCAGAATATTCAGAGTACTTCGGGGTATCATCTTGCAATCTTGTATACAGCAAACTCATTGCAAAGCTTAACAAATCCGCGAGCGATTCAGCCTCTAACTCTGCAGCCTTCTGTCTGGCTGTATTAGAATACAATAATATTCTATTATTACTGAATCGACTAAGCCAGCAAGGAACTTGGAGAACCACTAGAGGACGGAAAAATTGGGCGAAAGGCGGGGTCTTCATATATTTGCTCTCCACGCCCTCTAGAGCGGAAGCATAAAACATGAGAGCAGTGTAAATTTGCAGTACTCGTAACTACACCCGAATAAATGAGTCTGAATGGTAATACTGTACTACAGTAACGCCAATAAGTAATTACATACCAGCCAGTGAACGCATTAAAAGCCAATAAAGCTGAGATTAAAACAGCAGCACCTAGCTTGTTAGGCTAATCAGTGAGTTTACAGCTCTGGACTCCATAGGGATTAGACCACCGAGTCATCCGTGGCAAAACTCAAAAGCCAACCCCACCAATACCTGGGTCTGCAGAGCGCCAGCCATTAGCCACCGTCCCACGTGAACAGCACCGCCACAATCCCACCTTTCGCTCGGGAGGTGTGGCGGCACCTTTTATATGTGACCAGAACGAGGGCGTCTTCTGATTGGTCAGAATAAAAGCCTCGCCTCGCGGCTGGGTGGGTCAATCTTTAGTGCTTCGCGGGATCATTTACGCGCGAGAACTGATTAGGGCGCGCGCACGGTGAAGGGCTCTTTCCTGCCCTTTTTGTAGCCATCTTCACCGACCTCACCTTCCCCGTCACCAGGCGGGCTGTGTTGAAAATATCTTTTCCTAGTGCGGCAGCGGAAGCTTCGCGCGGGCCGGGTGCGGGGAGAGAAGTTGGGTCGAGAGGTGGCTTTCCTCTTCCAGCTTGGCCCAGGCGCAAGGCCCCGGCCGCTGTGATCAGCGGGCGGCTAGAGAAGGAAAAGGCAGAACAGCCACGCCTCTCCGGAGATTCCGAGCTACCGTTTCCTTCTCCGGAGGAAAGTGGATCCTCTTGATTTTTCATTTTTACATTACGTGGCACGTGCAGTGAGCCATTGCAACCATGTGTCTATTTTTGGTCCACTGTAGAGTCAAAACCAACTGAGGCAAAGATGCTCACAGAGCGACACCGTTTCTGCGCGTGATCCCCATGAAGGCACTATGAAAACACAGATATTTGGCTGCACACAATTAAAAATCACAGTCAACCATTTTTTACTGTACCATAATGCAAAAACAAGGATTCAAGAGACAAATTACCTTGGTTTTACATGATTTTTTTTATCAGGGCTTTATATGAAGCCACCATGTGGTTACTAATACTAATGTCTACCTGCATGAACCCTAGTAATCATGGGGCCAACTATTTTTAGCACTACTGTGTTGCAAAAATGTATCCAAGGCATGGATCCTCTTCAGTAGCATAATTTTTATGGGATTCACAGATCTCACAGCTTTTTGTCCCATGGTGGTGCAAAGATGCGTAACTGAGACACAGATCTTGAGTCCATGTGATTTTTTATGGGATCCATATCAAACCATTTTCAGATCATGTCTGATCTGCTCACAGTGATATGATAGGTTTTGATATGCCATGGAATGAAATGTATGAATCTGAGATAGGATCCACATCATCTTTATATAAGATCTGGTGAAACCACTGTCAAAACACAATAAACAGCCTTCTGTACAGGACCAATCAAAACCACAGGTTGTATTATTCTTGACATCTCCATTGAGCAAAGAACTATGATTGCATTTGGGAAATGTAGCTTCATGGTTGCTAATTTTATATGAGGTTTGCCTGGAATACCATCCTGTCTTTGCTCTCTTTAAACAGACTGTAAGAATTCTAAATGGAATACATTTGTACAAGCAGTATATCCTATCGGTATCATGACTACTCTCACAAAATATATGTTCCATGTTATAACTGAGTCGGGATGCTGATTTATTTATTTTTTTAAAAAACCTATTCACTTCCATCTTGTTATTTGGAATAATTGTGGCTTAATGAGTATAAAGGCTTAAAAGTTGTGGGTTTGCTGTTTATGAAAGAAGGCAAAGAAAGAGCATCCCTGTCTGCAAATGGGACAGAGACAATAGTTTTCTATGAATAAGTGCACTGCTATTTTTTTTAAATAAAAAATATATTTTTTGTTTTACTTGTTCAGAGGAAAACAAGTGCACTGCTAATTTTTAAACTTTGTTTCTGTGCATGTTTTCAGAATTATAGATTTTGAGTTAAAATACACACACACACACACACACACACACACACACCAACATTCATTCAGTCTCTAGTGCAATAAAGACCAGAACAAAGAGATCAATCAAGAGCTCATCTAATCCAGCATTCTGTATTCCACACGGATCATCTGGATATCTTCAGGAAGTTCACATCCTTGGGCAGGAAGATGACAGGCCTTTTCCACTCTCTCTCGAGAACATGTCACTAGTATTTCAGGTCTGCTGGTTGCAATTCAGGAGGTGGTACTGAGTGCTGTATTAATTTGTCTGTAGGTGTGAAGATGCTAGTCCTTCAAAATGATGTATCTATTTAAATATCATAGATAATAACTGTTCCATCTATCCTCTCCTTAACTGGTTAAAGATTTTGTAGGTGAACATAACTGTAATGAAAGCAACAACATTCATGTGATATTTATATATTGCACAAGAAAAAATATTTCTTTCTTTGCCAGTACTGAGTTTGCTGCCTATCCCTGTACTTGGATTGCTTCAAATCTAAATTCTACAAGTAAGGAAGAAAACTAAAATAGCATGGATTTAAATTATAAATTGCTGATTACCAAGGCAGGGCAGCCAACTAGCAAGGATAACTTGGAATCCTTCACTGAGTCTCTGCTGGTGGCAACATCTTGGGGATGTTAGCTATCTTGACAGCTAAGCATGGTTAGTGCTTGGATGGGGGAACCACCTGAGAATCCCAGGACTGTTGTCTAGATGAGAAATCAAAAAGAAAAAAGTGAAGAACCCAGTTAAGAAAATTGCATGGATGCAGTCATAGGAGTGTAACTTGTTCTAAAGGCATATTTACCTTTACTGAGCAGGGTTATGATTTCATAGTCTCTGCGGTCCCTTCCAGCTTTACAATTCTAAGATTTCAGTGTATCTGTGCTATCTACAGTCCTGTGGGGAAGGTAATAAAACTTTGAGTGTTTGTACCTCCTGTAACTAAGTTATGATCCATCCATTCAACCCTGACTCCTGGTGACTACAGGGACAGGTTTCTGCACTTTTCTTGGCAATATTTTCAGAAGTGGCTTGCCAGTACCTTCTTCCTAGGGTTGAGAGAGACTGGTACAAAGTCACCAGGGCTAGAACTCATGGCTGTCTCTATTTGAGAAACCTGCCCGGAGCCAAACTTCTAATTTGCTATTGTTTAGGTCACATCTTTCCCTGGACAAGAAGAGTCTATACCCCGAGAAACTTCCTTAAAGTTCCTCCCAACTGCACAGAAGGGCCAACATATAGATGTTGTTCCTGCTGACAGTTAAATCCTAATTTATTACTTAGAAGATTTATTCTTCCTGACATCCTTTGAACTTCTCTTTTGCATGTTATTTTGAACCTTTGGCAGAGTCTGTGCAAGAGAGATCCCTAGAATTCCCCCTCTCAAAATCTAAGCTCCAAGCCTTTTCTGATGCTCAGATCCTGAGGATGCAAATGATTTATCTGAACTACAAATCCACCCCCACAAAGATTATTCTTTTCTTTAGGATATGCACAAACATGTTCAGCTCTTAATCTAACCTTCAGCCTTGATTTCCTGCCACTATCCAGTTCAGTTGGTGCCCCTACCATTAAGTCACCACAGTCACATCCTTGCCTATAGACCTCCCTAGGTTCTCAGGCTTGATTAGAATTAACGCCAGCACTGAATTTACACATCTATCAAGAAAACCAGTTTGGTTTAGTGGTTAAGGTACTGGATTAGAAGCTGGGAGAGTATGAATTCTACTCCCACCTTGGGACTGGAACCCAGCTGGCTGACTTTGGGCCAGACATTCTCTCTCAACCCAGGGAAGATAACTGGCAAGCCACTTCCAGAAAAGGTTGCTGGGAAAACTGTAGAAATTGTTTCTGCAATTACCAGGAGTCAGAATGGACTCAGTGGACAATCACAACAGCAATATCATGCTATAAGTCCAAAGTAATGATTTTTCAAACATTTGGACTAATTAAGATTTCTTCAGCAGTCCTCTTTCTAATGAAAGAGAAGGTGGGTTGGTGATCGTGACAGAAGTCCAGCAATGTTTAGATGGATGATTATCAAGAAAGATGAAGCTGGAGGCCTCCCATGCTGTTTCTTTTTCAGGCAGCTTGTGCATGGATTTGTCTAAATATTTTAAAAGTATTTTTTTTTCCTGGTTTGGATTTCCTGCAGCTGTTGCAGAGTGGAAATATATTACAAATGGTGTGCTGCCAGTAACTATGTCTGTCACTGAGCCCAAGTCATGCACAGCCTGCCTTCACCACACTGTGGCAGCAGCTGGTTGCATGCCATGCACCATTTTATTATTTATTTGAATTTATTAGCCACCCAACTCCAATGGACTCTGGGTGGCTAATACATTTTGCCTTTTGGCATGCACTTTTTCTCACCCTCGTTACCCTCCCCGAATTAATAGATTGGATGTAGCAGGCTCAAATTCTTTGGTTCTTACTGCTAAGCCAACAAAGTTGTCATCTCTTTGAAAGAAAATTGGGAAAAAGAAACTTTCTTCCAGTAGAAAGTGGAACAGAATTGTTGGGTCTGTATCTCTTTTGAAGTGGAATAAAGCTGCAAGCTCCTGTAGCCCTCCAGAATTTGTGGGTCTGAAATGTTTACCCCCTTTGAAAGATTTTGTAGAAGGACTTCAAGGGCAAAATAAATTCAACTCCCCCCCCCCATTTCCACTGTGTTTCTGTCCAACTATTTCATGAAGCCTCCAAGGTTGGCTTGCTAATATCACAGGCAGCAGAATATTCTAAGCAGATCTCTAGTCAGGATAGCTGACCGAATTTGAGTAAAGTAAGGCTGGATATTCAACACATTTCATTATTTTGCTAAAATGGAAAAGATGAATGCAGGAAACCTGGGTTGAAACAAGTTTTATTGATATCAAATCATAGATTCAAAATGTCAGTGTTTTAAACAATGGACCAGAATACTGAAAATATCAGCCTTCATTTGCTTTGAACTACAGCTCCTTACTCTTTAAGATTAAGCTCCTTGATCTCTAAGATTAAGGAGCTTTACAGCAAAATAAATTACAGCTTTGAAAAAAAACCTCTGATTTGCCACAGTTATGAAGAATTTTGCAGGTCTTTGCAAAGGGGAATCCAGTATTTCTAGAGAATATATGTTCGCATCTTGATTTCCTCTACAAGCTTTCCTCTGCAAATATCCACCTGCAAAGCAAAAGTATGGCCTAATTAAGCTACAAAATATGTATCTCAATACCCTTCTTACTATACTTTAGTAAAGTTATCACAATGTAACATTTATGTCATCTCTTCTTCCTATCAAGGTTGCCATGTTTATGTCACTTCCAAGCAGACTGCTTATATCATGCAGCAGAAGACATGTCAAAAGCCTACGTACAGTTTTAATTAATTTTTTGAAAGACTGTTCAAGGCCTGAATTTATATTGAGAGACTGTTGAAGGCTGCATTGTAAGAAGAAAGCTGTGTTCGTCTATGGTAGCCAAAAATCAGAAGGAATCTGTTAGCATCCTTTCAGACTACCAAA